ATTTTTCCTATATATATTTTTAGTTGTTCAGCTAATTTCTTTCTATTTTCAGTAGAGACGGGATCTCACTCTTCCTCAGGCTGGTTTCGAACTCCTGAGCTCAAGCGATCCTCCTGCCTCAGCCTCCCAGAGTGCTAGGATTACAGACAGGAGCCATCGCCTGGCCTGTGTGTTTTTGGATCTAGCAATTTCACTTCTATTTCCTGTCTTAGATGTAAACTTAGGATATCTTAATTGATCATCAGTAGTGAAGACTAATTTTAAAATAAAAAGTTACTAGCCTTCCATACAATGAAATGCCATCTTGCTATTAAAAAGAATAAAGTTATAATGGAATATTATAATGCCTTAATAAAGAAGGAAAATCTATCACATGATATAACATGGATGAACCTTGAGGACATTATGCTAAGTGAAATAAGCCAGTGACAAAAGGACAAATAATATATGATTCCACTCGTAAGAAGTATCCAAAGTAGTCAAAATCATAGAAGCAAAAAGTATAAAAATTCCAAGATCTAGGGGAAGGTGACCTGGAGGAAGAACTAACTCGTGTTTGGTGGGTATAAAATTTCAGTGTTGCATGATGACAAAGTTGTAGAGATCTGCTGAACAACAGTGTGCATATATTAACACTACTATACTGTACACTTAAAAATGGTTAAGATTGTACTTTTATGTGTTTTACTACAGTAAAAAAAAAATAAAAGAATGAGGTAAATTTGTGCAGAGAGAAAGAGGTGGCCAAAATACAATGTTAAGTATGGGTTTTAAAAAAAGGAAGTTAAAGAACAGTATGTGTATAATGAAGTCACATATATGGTTTTCAAAAAGGAAAGGCACGTAGATATTTATGTATGTAGATATTTGTATATGCATTAAGATTTCTGAGAGTTTTTGAGATGCATTAGAAACTGGCACTAGTGGTTACTGCAGTAGAGCAAAATCTAGAGGTTGCTGGGTAAGGAAGTAGTGTTGGGGGCATTTGATTTTCATTTGACACCTTGCTGGGCTGTTTGAATTTATCCATAAGTATGTGTAGGTTACTTCTTTAAATTTTTAAAGCTTATTTTAGCAAATGTTTAATGGATGAGATTCAACATGCTGTATAATTGCATTTTCTAGCAGTGTTTTCCTTTTGCTATCACCCTGGCCCCTAGAACAGGAGAAGGAAGAAAGGGAAGGAGGAGGGAACGGGGGAGGAGGGTGTGATGTTTTTAGGGAGTGGATTTGGCAGTAACAGAATTAACCCTTTTGCATTAGAAGGGAAACATTATCAATGTGGTTGTACAACTGGTATGAACTTATGGTTTAATTTATTTTTATCTGCATGGTTCACAATTTACATAAATGTAGATTTTTCTTAACTACAGTGTATTGAGGTGAATAGAACTAGAAGAAAAAGGATATGCCACCCCTAAAAAGTGGTGCTAAGGTTATAGTTAAGCTGTCAAATCAGTCTTTGTCGAGAGTGCTCCAGCTGGCTGTGGATTATTAGGAAGTATTATTCAAAGGGCTGCTTAGATACAAGACAGGAAAATTGTTAGAGAAATGAGAGCTCTGGTGCTAAGATTCAGCCATTTCAAGTGTGCAGTCTCTTAAGGAAAGTAAAAGTGGAAAAATCCATAAAATATTTTATGTAAACTTTACAAAGCATTTTACACTAGACTAATAATTTAAGAAACACATGAAGCAATTTCAGCTCCTAAAGTGCTGGGAATTTCCATCTAGGGACACTTTATTCCTGTTTAGATTAACAGGTAGGTATTTTTAAAAAGTCGTAGTTTTATTTTATTCTTAAAGTGGAATTGGAGAGATTCCCAAGCTTTTACTTCTCCATTGAGCAGAAATGTTCAAACAAATAATTTTGGAATTACTGAGTTTTTTTTAAGCACTTGCTATTTAACCTAGAAGGGCTATATTAGGTTATTTTTTAATAAGGAAATTCTTTAGAAGATTTTAAAAAATAGTTTCATGAGATATAGTTCACATACCATACAGACCACCTATTTAAAACATGCAGTTCAATGGTTTTTAGTATATTTACAGAGTTGTGGAACCATCCTGATAATTTAATTTTTATCACCTTCATGCCCACCTGCAGTCACTCCCAATTTCCTCCCAAAGTCCCTCAGAGCCCTGGCAATTATTAATCTACTTTCTGTCTCTAAAGATTTGCCTATTCTGGACATTTCATGTGAATGGAATTGTACAATATGAGGTTTTTTAAAGACTGGCTTCTTTGACTTAGCATGTTTTAAAAGTTCATCCATGTTGTATGTGTCAGTATGTCATTCCTTTTTATGGAATATATCATATTGACTTATCAATTTATCAGTTGACTATTTGGGTTGTTACTGAATTTTGACTATTTTAAATAATGCTGCTATCGCCATTTATGTACAAGTTTTTGTGTGAATGTATGTTTTCATTTCTCTTGGGTATATAAATACCTAGGAGTAGGATTGCTGAGTCATTTGTTAACTATATTTAACCTTTTGAGGAACTGCCAAACTGTTTCTCAAAGAGGCATTTTACATTCCCACCAGCAGTGTATGACGGTTCTGATTTCTTTAAATCTTTGCCAACAGTTATTGTCTTTTTTATTGTAGCCATCTTAGTGGGTGTGAGTAGTTATCTCATTTTGGTTTTGATTTGCATATTTCTAATGATGCATACTGTTGAGCATCTTTATGTGTTCATTGACCATTTGTACATCATCTTTGGAGAAATATCTATTAATGTATTTTGCCCGTTTCTAAATTGGGTTATTTGTCTTTTTGTTACTGAGTTTTAAGGGTTCTTTATATTTTCTGTATTTCAAATCCTTATAAGATTGTGTGATTTGCAAATATTTTCTCTCATTCTGAGTTTTTTTTTTGCTTTCCTCGTGGTATCATTTGTAGCACAAAATTTTTAAATTTTGGTGAAGTCTAATTTATTTTTTCTTTTGTTGCTTGTGCTTTTGGTCATAGCTAAGAAACTTTTTGCCTATCAACTAAAGAAAAAAAATCAGGCTTTTAAAGAATTAAAATTAATTTTATTCAGAAGTCTTACTGAGGATTGCAAGCTGGGAGAGTCTTCCAGAGAGTTTCTGTTAGACTGCTCCCAAGCAGTGTCCCAGCCCTCAGTTTATATACAGGTGGTGGTTCTGCATGTGCTCCGAAGGTACATCACATGTGCTCAGAAGTTAGATTAGAGCAAAATCTCATCAATGTTGGGTGCCAGGGTACATCTGGTTCTAAATTACAGAGGCGTAATTATTAATCTTGTCAGATGTTATTTTAGGTACAGGAAGAATAAGGGCTAGGATCTTTGAATTTATCTTTTCTGAAAATGCAGTGAATTCAGGCAAGAGACTTGGGAACCTGTGCTCTGTCCTGCTTATCGGCTACGGAGCATTCTTCTGGAGGGCTGCGCTCCTTCACTGAGTCAGGGGCTTTGTGAAATTATGCTGATAAGCAGAATGAGCAAATATAACTTCTTACGTGTGCTACTTTGTCTCCCATAACCAAAGGTCATGAAGATTAAGTCCTATTTTCTTCTAAGAACTCCATAGTTTTAGCTTTTACAATTAGGCCTTTGATCCATTTTGAGTTAATTTTTGTATGCTGTATAAGGAAAAGGTCCAACTTCATTCTTTTGCATTTGAATGTCCAGTTCCATTACCATTTGTTGAAAAGACTATTCTTTCCCCTGTTGAATTATCTTGGCAAAATTAAATGACTGTAAATGTTAAGATTTATTTCTGGGTTCTCAATTCCATTGAGTTTTTTTTTTAAATTGACTATACATTGGAGGACTTATTCATCTGGAATTTATTCATTAGTCCGGATGTTGTGTTTTGGGGACTGGTGACCAGTCATTCTTAGATGGTTGACTCATCTTTTTCTGTGATCATAAGATTCAGTATTTACAGAGATTTAATTATAAGTTCCAAAGGGCTACAAGATGCTGTTAGAGGCGATTTTGTTTATGTAAATTACAAAATATAAACACCATGGCAGTAGTCACTGGAGACATCCATACGTCACAACAGTGCTCCTGAGTAATGGAGTTGTCAGGACTCAAGTTCACTTCCTTGCCATGTGGAGAGTAGTAGTTGGTTCTAAAAGGTACTATTCTCTTTTCTCTTTTTCGCATTCAGTTAAGAATACTGGCTTTGAAATTTATACCTGGGTTCGGGCCCTGTCTTCAGCCCTGAGGATCTGTGACCTTGGGCAGTTTATCTCCTAGAGTTTGATGTTCCCATTGTTATAGTGGAGACAGTAATAATGTTAACCACCTCACAGGTTGGGAGAAATTGTCCCTGTGTCCTGGAGTCTGTGACAGCATTTGGAAGTGAGTGTTGCATAAATGAGAGTGGTTACCATTGTTGTCATTATTGTTTGTTTTAAATGGTTACAAAATTCCCCCCAAGTCCCCTTTGGGAAAGATAAACTAGTAACTGGTGAACAGGAACACAGAGGAATAGATTTGTGGGTGAGGTTTGGTTGATGGGGCTGAGGATGCTGAAGCTGCAAGTTCCTGGAGCAGGTCGAGCTGCCAAGAGGTGGCGTTGGGTTGTTCCTTGTCCCCTGGGCATTTCCTTGAGCACCAGGTAAATCTCCCTGACTGAGCATCAGCTACAGGTTGAGTTTGTGGACACGTGATGCTAGTGTTTGGAGCAACTAGGTTCAGATCCCAGCCCTGCAAACTTCTGAGCTTCCTCTTTGAGGGAACTAAGAATAATATTGACAGCTAACTTTGTTGTTCTAAGCTGTTGTTCTGAGCACCTTGAAAACATTCTCAATCCTAATAATCCCACTGTTAGAGTAGGAGCCTAGGAGACAGAGCTGATACCTGATGGAAGGGCTTGTGGAGTGGGTACAGCTGTCAGACAACCCTCGGGCAGAAGCTAACTAGGCTGTGAGGCTAGGAGCAGCAGGGTGCAGGGGCTTGCAGAGTGGGTGCAGGTTTGAAGGTCTAAATAAGGGGGGCTTGATAACCACAGACAAGGACTGGCTTCCACCAGCTCATCAACAATTTATTAGTAGGCCACCTTACGTAAACTCTGGCTAATTACAGTATCATTTACATTGTAGTTTAACATTTTCTCCACCCTTAAAATCACATGACAGTTCTGAAACAACCATATAAAGTTTGAATATGGGAGAAAACCCAATTCTAGAAATTACTATCTAAAACCAGATCCCTTAGCTTTGAATATTCCTCCCCTCAATTACTAAGACTTCCTAAGACCAAAACCCCCCTTCCTTTTGGGGCAGCTGCTCTTTTCCAGCCTGCTTGATCTCTCTCTTAAGAGCATAGTCTTGCTGTCTGTCTTTCAATGTAAAGCTGTTTCCTTTTCTTAGGTGGTGTGTCCTGAAATCCTTTTTTCCTACAATCACCAAAAACCTGAAAAGGCCTCCACTCCAGGTGAAGGCTGGTAACACTATGACGTAGGAACTGCTATTGCTGTCGTCTCTGTTTTGTACAAGAGGTGGCAGAGGCCCGGAGGCAATGAAGTGACCTTGTATTGAATGAAGTGACAGTGTAATAAAAGCTAATGTAGAACACTTATTATGTGCCTGGCACATGTGCTAAGCAATTTTCGTGGCTGATTTCATGTAATCCTCACAGATGTTCATCTATAACTTGGTACAGGTGAGCAATTCTGTTTTTGTATTGCTTCACTGGCCAAGAGATTCCTTCCTATGTTAGAGAGCAAGTTTCTGTTATTTGTTTACTTTTACTTTCATATTGTTGACTTAAACAATGAATGTTTAATGTAGGTGAGTTCAAATTCTTCTTTATGTTGGTCATTTTTAGTTGTTTGATAACTTTAAGGGTTGGTTCCAAAACTATTTTGTTTTATGCAGTCTTTGAAAAGAGAGGATCCCGAGATGTTAAATTAGGAGAATATTCCCTTGTAAGTATTCAAAGTATTGGTGATAGTTGGAGGAAAAGGAAATTTTCTGAATTTGTCACTAAATTTGCTTTAAGCCTATATATAAGTTTTATTTTCTGTCTTTTTGTTCTTGTATCTTGTTATAGTTCATGTGGAAGGGTTTGGAATCATCTTTTTATGAGTGGGATGTATTCTAATACTGTCAATGGGAAAAAGGTGAATTGTGTGGGACATTTTAGAAATAGACATTTTGTGCACATCAGTGAATGAGAGTGTAGGCAACTTTAATTTTTTTTCTTATAATAGTTGAAAGAGGAACACAATGATAAAAGATTTGGATTGTGATTCAAATTTTATGCATGCTACAAGTGCCAAACTCAGTTTTGATTCTGTTTTATGCTGAATGTCCATATTTTTAACTAAAGTTCAACATAATTGCTAGAAACTTTTAAACATCATTACCCTATGTAGAACATAATTTAATCATGAGTGTATATTAGTGACTTTTGGTGGCTGCTTCATTCTAGAGATGGTACATAGCGGTAAGGGAAAGAATTTTAGAACCTGGCTGCCTGAGTTCGTATCTCAGGACCTTAGGATAGACCTTAGTTTTCTCATTTGTGAAAAAAATGGAGTTCTTTTTTCATTTTTCTCTTTTCTTTTTGTATCTTTACTTCATATTTTGTCTTTTCCTAATTTTTTCAAAGTCAGTATAGCTTATAAAATTTTTTCAAAGTCAGTATAGCTTATAAAATTTTTTCTTATTATAAAAAGTAGTACATATTCATGCCAAAAAATTTACATAATACTTTCTTATTTGTCAAAAAATGGCAATAAGCATATTTACTTCGTGAGGTTGTTGTGAGGATGAAATGAATCCATGCCAGGAATTGAGGACCCTACCTGGCACCTAGAAAATACACAATGCAAATTTCTGTTAAGAAATTATTAGTGCCACTGCCACAAGTTATAAGAATGAAGAATGCCTTTTGGAATAATAATGGGATGCCTAAGGCTGTGGCTGTGTTCTTCTAGAAGGCATCTGGACAGGCGCATCTCAGGAGTCAGCACTGGTGCTCAGCAAGGGCAGGCGAGGGAGGTGAGGTGCTCTTCTGACTGCGCTGTACGCACATATGTCTACTTTAGGGTCTCTTTTGATTTTATGTTTCTGCATGGAAGTAGGTGGAAAAGGGTCAAAACAGTATACTTCAGATATCCTGGAGACCTGGTGAAGTAAAACTGTTTTGGTATCCTGGTGAGCTTTGGACTCAGAGATACAGATTTTGGGTTTTCCCAAAGTGGCTTCTGAAAAGTCACTTAATCCTCTCTGAGACTCAGGTTTCCTTATCTGTAAAATGGGGATTATGATGCACCATAGAGTTCTGTTGAAGATTAAGTGAAAGAAGGTCTTAAAAGCAATTTAGTGGCTCACGCCTGTAATCCTAGCTCTCTGGGAGGCCGAGGCGGGCGGATTGCTCGAGGTCAGGAGTTCGAAACCAGCCTGAGCAAGAGCGAGACCCCGTCTCTACTATAAATAGAAAGAAATTAATTGGCCAACTAATATATATAGAAAAAATTAGCCGGGCATGGTGGCGAATGCCTGTAGTCCCAGCTACTTGGGAGGCTGAGGCAGGAGGATTGCTTGAGCCCAGGAGTTTGAGGTTGCTGTGAGCTAGGCTGACCCCATGGCACTCACTCTAGCCTGGGCAACAAAGTGAGACTCTGTCTCAAAAAAAAAAAAAAAAAAAAAAAAGCAATTTAGGGTAGTGCTTTGATACAGAGGAAGTATTTATGAAATGATAGGTAACTGGTTTTTTTTTTTGAGACAAAGTCTTATTCTGTTGCTGGAGCTAGAGTGCAGCGGTATCATCATAACTCACTGCAACCTCCCAACTCCTGGTCTCAAGTGATCTTCCCCCGTTGGCCTCCCAAAGTGCTGGGACTACAGGTGTGAGCTACTGCACTCGGCCAGTAACTATTACTTATAAAGAGTGCTGGGAGGAAGGATCTTCCTGATTGCCTAAGACACTCTCATCTTTAATTTTGGTGTTTTGATGGAAGCACAGCATATAATTCTCTGCCTTCTTAAATTGTTGATTTTACTGCAAAGCTTGACACTGTGAATTAGGGCTGGGGCTCTGGGGCTTTGATCTGTCTTTAGGGCTTTGTTCACTGCCCTTGGTGCACACACACGTGTACAGAGTAGTCCTGTGATTTCAAGGCAGCGTGGAGGTAGCAAAGCTGCGTTCTGTCCTTTCTAGCGTCGCTGGTCTCCTCCGTCAGCTCCATCAAGGTTTGCTTCTCACTGTGTGCATCCAGCAGGGTGTTACTTTGGAAAGGAGAATGAGTTCCCAAAATAGGTAGCTTTTCCAGACCTCACGCTCATCTATGCAATGGAAATGATATTACTGTCTCTCCTATCATGTGGAGTGGTTTTAAGGATAGAATGAGAGGGAGTTTGTGGAGGTGTGATCGAAATCTAATACCAATTATTCAACTTTATAAAGTAGTAGGAAAAAAATGGATTTAGGGAGTCACCTGACTGAGGCAGACATTCCAGTTCTTCCACTTGTTAGGTGTGTCTTTGTTTTTTGATCAGCCTTTTCATCTATAGTGGAGATTGATGATAACAACATAGGGCTGTGATAAACATTAAATTCTAAGCATCTGGTAAATTCTATGTTGTACATAATAGGTACTCAAAAAATTGTGTTTGTACATACTTGTCAATAGTTGTTGTTTCTGTGACTATTGTTTCTGCTGCCTATTTTATCTTGTTTTCTCTGCTTGTCCCCAAATTCTCCCTTGCTTCTTTGGAAAGACTGGACATTGGCTAAAATGCTTGCCCATCAAGCACTTCTGACTTGCTAGTTGTTGGTGAGTAGGGAATTATATCATCAAAGATCATCTTTGTGTTTTCTTCTAGTGGTGGCCATGGTGACAGCTTCTTTCCCACTCCCTGCCCAGTTTAGGAATGCTTCCTTTCAAGTCATTCTGGTTGCCTAAGGGTAACAGGAAAATTTACTCTGTATAATTGCATTTTATTTTAATTTAATGAGAACTTTGACTCTTGAACTTGTTCCCAGGGTGGGATACTCTTTGCAAAGCATGAGTACCCCATCCTTACTGTATATATGAGAAAGTTAGGATATGAACCAGATACAATTTTATAACAGAATATGATTATAAACACAGCCATCCCTCTGTATCCATGGCTTCTACACCCTTGGATTCAGCCAACCAAGGATTGAAAATATTTTTCAAATATTTTTCAAATATTTGGAAAAAAAAATCAAAACCATAAAAATTATTAACAATACAACCATGAAAGATAATACAAATATTATACAGTATAAACACTATACTATATACAGTATAACCACTATTTACATAGCATTTACATTGTATTTGGTAGAATGAGTAATCTAAGAGATGATTTGAAGTACACAGGAGGATGTGTGTAGATTAAATTTTATACAGCCTATTTTTTTTATATCAGTGACTTGAACATCCTACCCCACCTCGAATACCAAGGGACAGCTAGCTGTATGTCCTATAAAATCCCAAGGATATTTGTTCATGAAAAAGCAAGCTAAATATCATCTTCGAATTTTCCATTAATATTTGCGACATATTCTTTCTGTTTGCCATATGCTCATATATAATTGGGAGCAGGTGGTGAGGGCTTAAGGAAAATTTGTGGGATTAAAATATGAAAATTGAGAAAATAAAGCCATTTTTTTGTGTGTGTGTGTTTTAAAATGTAGATTTTATTATTATTCAGGTATAGTGAGGCCAACAAATCAGGAGACAACTGCATTGGAAAGATATTCATTAAATTACCAAGAGGAAGGGCCACACTGCACCACACAGGGCCACCTGGGGAAGCGCCAGCGTAAACTGGAGGTAGAAGGAACCGGGAAAAGCACAGGCATGTACCCTTAGCGTGGTTTCCCTGGGAAAGCCAAGCAAGGCAGGGTAAGCAGACTATGGCTGACTAGTTTGAATAGTTTCTGTGGACTCTGGGGTGCAGGGGCTGTCTCTAGTTGTCAGGTACCTGGCCCTGGGATGATTAGGGCAGAGGAATATTGCCTTCTGGACTGTTAAGAGCCAGTAGAGGAGGTAGTTGGCAGGTATGGGCTCTGACTTGGTTGATTTGCATATGAAAGCTGTGCTCATAGGGCAGTAGATGCTATCTCTAGGAATTAACTGTCCCTGGGAGGATCAGTCCTTCCTGGGACAGCAAGGCCCCAGATTCCAGAGCATGAAGAATAAAGATAATAAGAAAATAGCAAATTACATTTTGTTCCTTTAAAATTAGGAGAAAACTCCCATGATTTGATTTCAGTGGTGGACTGCTTGGTCCAGCGTGTGACATGTGAGTGATACAGGGTGCAGGGTGTAAGAAGCTGGTGGAGCTGGTGAGGCCACAGTTTTGGATTTGGTCTCCATGTGGTCCAGCTTTGTTCTTACAAAGGAACAAAAATTTCTTCTCTCTCTGTTTAGGGGCCACCATATCACAAATTCTTAAGTCTCCTTGTAGACACTGAACTTGTCTGTGATGATGGGAGGTAATCACTGGAGACAGTGGGTAAGCAAAACTTTGTCCCGCCACTGAGAAATCACCTCGAAACAGTGGCCCATCCACAGTTGCATGATGGGGTGATTCTTCTTCAGGGAGGACAGTGTAGTAGATGTTCCTCCATGTCAAAGCAATGCCTTAAAGTAGCTTACCCCAGAGACTCAGGTTGGGATCCTTTCTATTAGAGCTATTGAAACTCATTTTATAGCATATCTTTTCTTCTGATATTTGTTGATTTTTTTTTTCTTTTTTTGGAGACAGGGTCTTGCTCTCTTGCCTGGGCTAGAGTACAGTGGTGTCATCATAGCTCACAGGAACCTCAAACTCCCGGGCTCAAGCAATCCTTCCACCTCAGCCTCTCGAAGTGCTAGGATTAGAGGCATGAGCCACCATACCCGGCCCTGATATTTGTTGATTTTTGTCAAAGTTGTCTTACTCT